TTGGTACTGGACTTGTCTGAGACAAAAGCAGCACTGGCTCGATACATCGGTAGGCCACCACGAGTCGTTTCACAGGCCTGTTATGCATTCAATCACCCTCAACGAACTTTGATTAAGTCAAATGTATAGCGCATCCCTTAGCGATTGATAACACCGAAAGCCTTATGCTTATCTTATCTTTATCCGAATTGTGAAGTCGTTTCACCTTCTCTTACTCTTGTATGTGTACATTGCTAAGTAATCAAACTAAATAATTCAGAATGGGCTCGAAAACTTGTCTAATTTTCGGGCTTCTCATTGGCTTTCCAGCAGTCTCCGGTATATTCGGAATTGGTCGCTTACAATCAGTTGGAGTCAAGGGAAAACTCTGCTGTGAGAAAGTTCCAGCAAAAAATATCACAGTGAAGCTCTATGATAAAGAATTGTGTATGTTTTCAACATCTTTGAAAAATCGCCATCGTAGCCTTTCTAGAGACTCTAATGTCCTTGAAAGCTCCAATCTTCGGATATAGAAGTTTTACTACTGTTTTTTAGCTGCGTAGGTATTTAAATACCGAGACTTGCACTAAACCTATTCATAATTTATTGCTTTAGTCTACGACTCATTAATGGGCCAAAACCAAACCAATGATGAGGGTTCATTCAAATTCCAAGAATCTAAACGCGAAATCACACGCATAGAGCCGTATGTGCTAATTAGCCACCAATGCAATGTGACAAAGGTAAGCTTTCAGCGGAATTTCTGTTCTGCAAAATGCAATCATAAAGACAGAAATCGATATAATAAATATCTAGGGATGCGAAGAGACGGTCAGGATAAGTATACCACACTGGTATTTATTTAAAGGACCTAAACCAGAGTCGTATTATAAAATAAAAGATCTCGACCTAGCTAGGCATTCCATCCGATCTAAGCTTAAGTGCCGGGAATGAGTTGCAATGTTTCATCTGCGTGTTTCGATGAATGCACATATTCGGTACAAGAGATTTCCACTTCCACAAAAACTAGCACTTTCTAATCGACGTTCTTTATAATGCTTCACCACTTTATTACTTTCTGAATTCAGTTAATCGTGTGTGTTATTCACAAATTGTGGATGTATTCGCTGCTCTGACTGTGATAAATGCTTTGTTCACTTGACGTACACTTGTTGATCACCTTCACACATTCTCGACTACGCAACTTCATGCAACGCCTTCTGAGGGGACATCGTGGCAAACAAGACTCTAGAAATCGTTTAATTTCTGATTTATTTTAGCGTGGAAATCATTTTCTTATTCACGTTATCTGCCCATTATAATTGGTGGGAAACAGTTCTTCGTATGAGTTGTTTCACATTCATCAGAGAGACTGTTGCAGGTGAAAGGTACCCGATACAGATACTTGTTGCCTTTGAGAAGGGAACAGATGCCGATCATCCGTGAGTGACCACGTTGAAGAAAATGTGTGTGTACTTAAACTGTAACGAATATGGGTTGTATGTATTTAATCCGTGGTGAAAGAAGAAAAGCCATCCGATTGTTGGCGGTAACGAGGACCTTTGGTTGATTGTCGCTCTCGAATAGTTCTTCTAGTAGAACACATACCATATAGTGATAGGACGAAGTATTTTCTATTAGAAACCTGCTAAGTTACTATCGAAGAACTTGTGGGGATTATCGAAACATTTTCTTCCGTTAAGTGCATAGAGTCCAATTTTTCACAGAGGCGATTATTATTCCATTTCCACTATGGACGATGATTGTTATATGAAAAGGGCAGATATAAAAACCATAACGCACGAATTTATTTTATATGACCACAGACTACGTTTGCTCAAAAAAGCGTGAAAGATTTGATTCCAGAACACAAGTGGCTAGCAGCTTATGTGAAATTCACATTGTGGTCAATCACAGCGCCATACCCAAAGTAACAGTTCGCAGACTATCGGAGAGTTTCGTGCGAGCTATGAGGAAAATAAGAAATGACTTAAGGTTTAACGCAATACCTTTAATTTTAAGAAATCTCTTGGTCCTTGGCGCTTCATTGAGGTGACGAAGCATCAAGTAAGTCGATTAACCTTCCCTTTGGTCATATTTCTATGATTTACAAAAAAAATTGACAGCACCGTTATGAATTACAAATAGGAAACGATAAGCTCGCCTAAGTATTGGGCAGACTGACTTGTAACGAGAAATCTATACATTCATAGATAATGTATGGGAAAATAGCTTTTGCGAGTAGATTTTTAAAGTAACTATAACTTTCTCCATTACGGCTAGAAATGCCAAGTCTATAAAGTGATTTGAGCTTCACGCAATCTTTCGTTACGAAATGGCAGACTGTGTGCAACGTTGTTCTCCTCTTGAACACCGAAGCGCACGGTATCAGTGGACTCACGACCGAAATTTGTCTTCAAGTGATGCAGATCTCTGGACTTTCTGCGAAAAACGTTCCTTACATGTATATTTGAAGACGTCTGAATCGCAAACGTTTCGTCATTTATGTGATTTTGATGAAAGAAAGAGGAAAGCTTGGCTAGATAATAGCGCAGCTGAAACGCTTTATTAGCACAGCCACAGTCTTCGATCACACCCAGATAAATTCAGCAGCTTCACGACTTTCTGGCTAGAGGACTGGGAGTCTTAGTCAGTGCGGGGCGGGGTTGAACTATGGCGCGGGTCTTATTATAGAACGGTATCTCCGTTAATGCGTTAGCGGTGCTTTTAAGAGAAAAAACTAGCAAAGTCCTCGGAGTCAGCTTACGCCTTTGTGGATGAAAAGATATGAAATCCATAGACTTTTGTAACATGGCTATGCCGAATAACTAGTACAGAATGTGTGATATTATCGTGATTCCATAGAGTTGCAGAATAGAGGCTTCGCATAGAGAAAATTTTTCTTCGTCGAAACTGTTTAGCGCAAACGGTTGAGTATATCCCATAATAAAAACTAGGCACATTTTCTTTAACATATGAAGTCCGTGAGCGATTAGTCTAAACTAGACAAGAGCACAGCTCTTCTTCGCTGATCAATATAGCTTCGAAAGGAGTTAATCTGCACCAGATGTCCCAAACTGTGTATTGTAATGCACAGGGTAATAGAAAGTATTCTGTGTTGGAAAATAAATCAACAAATTTGACATTTGTCTTTAAAGTGGCATATCACAGCTAAGAAAAAACTTATTGATGGTGATAAGAAGCGTTGACATATACATTTTTGCCAATGGCATGCAAGTTTACACGTTTCGGTTGCATAAAAGTAGGGAGTTCTCGGAGCGATGAAGTCGTTGAAGGCAGTTTCGTTCTCTGTAGATCAGCCAACTTGTTGAGGTTCTTGAAGAAGTAGTAGGCGGTAGGCGAAAGGTACGAAAGGAATATGGTGGATAAGCCAGAGTTCGCAGACCAGCTTACTCAACCTTTATAGGCTCGATAATAAGCGGTTTGGGTACGCATTATCATGGGGGTAGGATTGTCCCTTTCTATTGGACAATGCGGGACATAATCGATGAAGTTTTGGTGCATTTCGTCGATTCCTTTGACATACATGTACTACTCCACCATAGTCGTTCTACTAGGATTCAAAAACGTTGTTGGATCAAATTAGAGATACATTACCGAACCGTCGGCATGACAATGTTTCGGTGGGATTTGGCCTTTGGGTAGTGTTGTAGATCATCATAAAAGTCCAAGTACCAAGTCGATTGTCGTTATCTCTCATTCATTTCCCGTTGAACATCACAATAGGGTCGAAGAAAAGCTCGTGGTTCTTGAGCAGATGGAGCATCGGCGATAACTTAAAACGTCTATTACCTAGGTTGTCATTCAGTTTGTGGTGCATCCATTTGTCTGGCATCTTCGACCGTCCTTTCTCGTGGCGCTTCAATACTGTCTATACGCTTACGCAGAACTCTTTTGCAACCACTTCTCAAGCAGTTTCGCGTCTATTTGTTAACATGGAAGATTTCAATTCATCGGCATCAGCAGCAGATGTACGTCTACGAACTCTCTCATCTTGAAAGTCGAATTCACAGCAACGAAAATTTTCAAGCTCATTGTGTATTCATTAACACTTCTTTCGCTTCACACCTCACTGAGGTTTCGATCTGTTCGCGCTGCATTACGATCGTCGTCAACCTCTTACTTGTAAAATTTGGCAAAAACACAAATTATGTTACAAATCAATTCCATAAAGCGAATTTACTTAAAAAACCTTGAAAAGCTTAAAAAATTGTACGGCATTCAGTATAAAACTATTTTTAAAACATACAGAAGGATAAAAAAAAGAATAAGGCTTTCGGCGTCGATCAATCCCTGGGGGATGTGCCATGCATTCTCCTTCATTAGGCACCGTTGGAGGTGGTTGAATGCATATCTGACCTTTACAATTACTCGCGGTGGCCTAACGATGTATCGGGCTATTGCTGCTATCCTCCCAGAAAAATCGAGTACCAATTTGCCGACCCCGGGGAAGGGAGGCTTGGTGGGGTTGGGGAGCACGGATCGATCCCATATGTGTGTTGCAGGGCTCCCCCGACCACCGCGCTAATCAGGCATTAAGGTCCATTAATTTCGAAAACTAATAATAGTCGGTTGTGTTGTACCCAACGTGAAGAGCAAAACCCGATGAGCGACGGATATGGAGGATGTCACTTTCTGTTATAAATGAAAACATGTACTGTCTATTTCATTTGTTTTGGCCAATGAGCAACAATTGCAGTTTAAACGAAAAACAATTTTAATTTGTACAGCTATCTCTAAAATTGATGGATTCCATAGGATGGTATTGTTGTTAGGAATCGTACCGTAACCTTCCGTTAACTTTGGAGAGATAATAGAGAACAATGAAGCAATAAATACCGAATTTTCATCAACAGTACCACATTCTTTCTGCCGGCAATCCTCGATCTCTCTGACGTACTCAAATCGTTAGTGTGTCTGATAAGAAGCGTCATTTCGCTTTGTTACATTTTATATGTGAAGTATGCTAAGTAATTTCTTCATAATACCATTAATTTAGGATGAATTCGAAAGTTTATCTAATTCTTGTGTCTGTCATTGGCTTTCCGGCAGTTTCCGCTATAATCGGAATTGGAAAGCAACAATCAGCTGGTGCACAGGGAAACATCACCTGCAGGGGAGTACCGGCAAACAATGTCACAGTGACACTCTATGATAGCGATTTGTGTACGTTCTTTATTAACTTTAAGGAACCGCCGTCTATAGCACTTCAAAAAGCTGTGTTTTCTTAGATTTAAACTGCAAAATTTGTCTTAGGTAAAAGTGTTGATGCTTTTTGACAAAGACAGTGACCAGGTTAAGATATTGTTGTTTTAGTATGGGACTCAAAACTGGATGAAGTACAAACTATTCATGATGGTACATTCCAATTACACGGCACGAAAAGTGAACTCACTGCTATAGAGCCGTATGTGGAAATTTCCCACCATTGCAATGTGAAAGATGTAAGTTTTCAATGGGATTTGTACTCGACAGTTTGAACTGATGAAGGGATAAACCGATAAAATCAATATTTAGAGATGCGTAAAGACGGTCCATATAGAGATACCAAGTCCATTTGTCTTTAAGGGTTCTAGCATTGATGTATACTACCCAATTAGTGTCGATCTTGCTAAACACTCTCTTCCATCAAAGCTTGAGTGTCATTAGTGCAGTCGCACGTTCCATTTGAGTCGAGTGTAGTTTCAATGAATTTATTTATCGTCACTCTTTACAAGCGACGTTTAACTTCACACAATCCATCACATTTCCTGCTCGGCATTCTTTATACGATCACTTTCCTTACGTAGCCAGTTGTATGTGTTCTCAATAGACTGTTGAGGAAGCCGTTCTTCTGACTCTGTAACATGTTTTCCCGGCTTAGAATACACCTGTGATCACTTTAAATAATTCTTGTGCTAAACAAAATAAAGGAAATACCGAATGTTAGGCATTAAAGTAAAAAGTTGGGTGCACCTCCACCAACGCAGACGACGCCAACTGTGGCGAATACCTAGCTACATCAACATTTCTGAAAACCCGAGTCATCACAAATATACAAAACTGATTGAAAGTCAACTAACAAGGCTTGACTAATCTGTTAGTGACACATTGGTTTAACCAAGAATAGGTTATTTTGCGTAAATATGAAATACATCGAGGAACAAATACATACATCGGCCAAGTTAATAGAATCTACCAACCAAACTCAGCCTCAGTCAAATGAAGATTCAATAAGTTAGTGCGAAGTAGGGACACCAGTAAAAGTGTACCGATGTTTTAAGTTTTATTTGCTGCCTAATTTTTTTCGTGACAGGATATTATCTGAAGTACAATCACAGGGATGCTGAGATATGAGCAAAACGTGAAACCTCAAGTGTGTTTCGAACCTGGGATTGCTCCTTGCAGAGACTCACGTGTTATCCATTACAATACCGAGGCTCCTGGTTTTCCTCTTTTATATCAGCCAGCTTCTTTTACCCTAATAGTGCTGGAGCTGTTATAACGGAAAAGAAAAGGGACATCGTATGTCTACTCTTTAGTCATTTAAATAGAGCAGATTTTTTTGTACTTTCATTGTTATCTCGTTTCATCCCAATATGGTGTCAAGGAGTTCCAATTTAAAAGGGTGTCATGAGGTTTTACATATTAAATGCACTAAATAGGAATGGGAATCGAGCTGTTCGCTTTGGTACCTTGGGAGAATTCTTTATCCTACGATTCTTAACCCTTTCACGATCATGCACATTTGATTTCGTTATGTACGCTACTATGTACTACGCTTTGGTCGGCACACCTGGATTTAAATGTGCATCTAAATTGAGCTACAAGGACACACCGTTCGATGAGTCAGCCACGCGAAAGTGGCCAGGCTCGCGAAAGGGCTAAACCGTTTGCATTGTAATCGTAAAAATTATTTAGTGCTGCATAAGGTTGACCAAAAGTTCCTTTCCTTCAATATTTTCACACAAATGCATTACTTTCACGTAACACCTGGTCGATCCTTTGTAGTCAATCAATAACTTGTTAAACACATATTTTCCACTGGAGCTAGTAGTCCATGGACAGGTATTCTGTGCTATACTTGCAAAGAGTCGCTTGAAGAGGTGGAACGGGGTCGGTGAATACAAAAAAGGTAAGATAGACACAAAAATACGCCTCAACTATAGAGCAAAAACATGGGGAAAGCAAATAACATCATGGTTAGATAATGGGCAGTTTTTATTACAAAGTATTATAGTCACACAAAAAAGTACCCAAGAATATCGGAATACGCACAGAATCCCTGTATAGAAAAGCGCTGCCGGGTGAGTTTGCCTCATTCGTAGGGTGTTCTATTGAAGTTGTTGGTCATCTCCGTACGACGACGAAGACGTCACATCGAGAAGACCAGCAACTGTGGACCGTCGACTAGGATCATCGGTTCTGATGAAGACGAAGATATCGAAATGTAAAAATAGAAATAAAAATAAATAAATAAAAAATAGAGCTGATTTACTAACATCGTGTAAGCTCAACAATTTGAACACGTGTAGATTATTTCACCACCGTAGTTAAATAACGGTCGGTTTGTGAAATACGCAGAAGAACGTAGTGGATATGTAGAAATTAGAGATACATGGAAAAAAACCTGAAGAAATTGAACAATAGAACGACAATCTCAAGAAGCCCAGCCGTGCCCCTCGGGAGGACTTACGGACCACACACTTTGAGTTCAATGCGCGCTACGACTGTGCTCTAGTGAGGGCACGCTCCGACGTGGATTACGATGACTTGGATTACTTTTCAACATTATAACTGCAAGGAGCATACTATAAATTCGCATGTGCAGTAACCTCACCCAGCGACCGCTTGGCGCAATGGTAGTGCGCTAGACTCCAGCTCGAAAGGTTGAGAGTTCGATCCGCTCAGTGGTCGCATCTTTCTAGTCATTATTACCGAAGCTATGATTACTACCACAATGTTGCTGAGATATTTGCAAAACTCTGGACCGCAGGTGTCTATGGTGGGGAACGAACGCGCTATTATCCTTTCCGGGGAGTAACGCGTTCACCACCACACCATGCAGGTCCTTTGTTTCGCACGCCTCTCAGCTATTTCTATCGATCTTTTTGACGGGTGATTGCTGTGGCAAAAAGATCGATAGAAATAGCTGAGAGACGTGCGAAACAAAGGACCCGCATGGTGTGGTGGTGAACGCGTTACTCCCCGGAAAGGATAATAGCGCGTTCGTTCCCCACCATAGACACCTGCGGTCCAGAGTTTTGCAAATATCTCAGCAACATTGTGGTTGTATTTCGCTTAGTAACCTGCCATGAAAATTATAGAAGGCAGAAAACAAAACGTTAAAACGCTATGATTGCTTTTCAAATGTACAACCTCTAGGAGCCCACAATAACTTTGCCTCTGCAGTAATATAACCTGGCGACCGCTTGACGCAATGGTAGTGTGTTCGAATCCAGATCGAAATGCTGTGTGTTCGACCCACTCAGTGGTCAAACCGTTTTAGACATTACTACCGAAATAGGATTACTTTTCAAAATTATCACTGCAAGGAGCGCAATATAAATTCGCATGCGCAGTAACCTCACGCAGCGACCGCTTCGCGCAATGGTAGCACGTTCGACTCCAGATCGAAAGGTTGGGCGTTCGATCCGCTCAGTGGTCAAACCGTTTTAGACATTATTACCGAAATAGGATTACTTTTCAAATTAATCACTGCAAGGAGCCCACAATAACTTTGCCTCTGCAGTAATATAACCTGGCGACCGCTTGCCGCAATGATAGTGCGTAAAACTCCATATCGAAAGGATGGGCGTTCGACCCGCTCAGGGGTCAAATTGTTTTAGACATTACTACCGAAATAGGATTACTTTTCAAATTAATCACTGCAAGGAGCGCACTATAAATTCGCATGCGCAGTAACCTCACGCAGCGACCGCTTCGCGCAATTGTAGCGCGTTCGACACCAGATCGAAAGGATGGGCGTTCGATCCGCCCAGTGGTCAAACCTTTTTAGTCATTATTGCCGAAGCTATGATTGCTTTTCAAATGTACAACCTCTAGGAGCCCACAATAACTTTGCCTCTGCAGTAAAATAACCTGGCGACCGCTTGAAGCAATGGTAGTGTGTTCGACTCGAGATCGAAATGTTGTGCGTTCTACCCGCTCAGTGGTCAAACCGTTTTAGACATTACTACCGAAATACGTTTAGTTTTGAAATTAATCACTGCAAGGAGCGCACTATAAGTTCGCATGCGCAGTAACCTCACGCAGCGACCGCTTCGCGCAATGGTAGAGCGTTCGACTCCAGATCGAAAGGTTGGGCGTTCGATACGCTCTGTGGTCAAACCGTTTTAGAGATTACTACCGAACTAGGGTTACTTTTCAAATCAATCACTGCGAGGAGCCCAGTATAAATTCGCATGTGCAATAACCTCTCGAAGCGACCGCTTGGCGCAATTTTAGCGCGTTTGGCACTAGATCGAAAGGTTAGGCGTTCGATCCGCTCAGTGGTAAAATTGTTTTAGACACTACTACCGAAATAGGATTACTTTTCAAATTAATCACTGCAAGGAGCGCGCTATAAATTCGCATGCGCAGTAACCTCACGCAGCGACCGCTTCGCGCAATGGTAGTGTGTTCGATTCGAGATCGAAATGTTGTGCGTTCTACCCGCTCAGTGGTCAAACCGTTTTAGACATTACTACCGAAATACGTTTACTTTTCAAATTAATCACTGCAAGGAGCCTACAATAACTTTGCCTGTGCAGTAAAATTGCCTGGCGACCGCTTGGCGCAATGTTAGTGTGTTCGTCTCCAGACCGATAGGTTGGGCGTTCGATCCGCTCAGTGGTCAAACCTTTTTGGACATTACTACCGAAATAGGATTGCCTTTCAAATTAATCACTGCATGGAGCCCAGTATAAATTCGCACGAGCAATAACCTCTGGCGGCGACCGCTTGGCGCAATGGTAGCGCGTTTGACTCCAGATCTAAAGGATGCGCGTTCGATCCGCTCAGTGGTCAAACCGTTTTAGACATTACTACCGAACTAGGGTTACTTTTCAAATCAATCACTGCAAGGAGCCCAGTATAAATTCGCATGTGCAATAACCTCTCGCAGCGACCGCTTGGCGCAATGGTAGCGCGTTTGACTCCAGATCTAAAGGATGCGCGTTCGATCCGTTCAGTGGTCAAACCGTTTTGGACATTACTAAATAACTACCATTATTTTTAAAATGTATCACTGCAAGGAGCCCAGTATAAATTAGCATGTGCAATAACCTCTCGCAGCGAAAGCTTGGCGCAATGGTAGCGCGTTCGACTCCAGATATAAAGGATGCGCGTTCGATCCGCTCAGTGGTCAAACCTTTTTGGACATTACTAAATAACTAGCATTATTTTTAAAATGTATCACTGCAAGGAGCCCAGTATAGATTCGCATGTGCAATAACCTCTCGCAGCGACCGCTTGGCGCAATNTAAAGTATGCGCGTTCGATCCGCTCAGTGGTCAAACCTTTTCGGACATTACTAAATTACTAGCATTATTTTTAAAATGTATCACTGCAAGGAGCCCAGTATAAATTCGCATGTGCAATAACCTCTCGCAGCGACCGCTTGGCGGAATGGTTGCGCGTTTGACTCCAGATCTAAAGGATGCGCGTTCGATCCGCTCAGTGGTCAAACCTTTTTGGACATTACCAAATAACTAGCATCATTTTGAAAATGTATCACTGCAAGGAGCCCAGTATAAATTCGCATGTGCAATAACCTCTGGCAGCGACCGCTTGGCGCAA